TGGTGTTTTAGCTGATTTGTGAAGCTGAAAGAGTAGCTGAAATGAAGTTTGTTGTCAATTATTTTTTTATAATAATGATAATTATGGCGATAGTTAGTTTCGTCAATGACAATGCCTGGCCTTGACCTGTGTCCAGGAGGTTGAAGTCTAAAAGCAAAAAAAGAGGACCCATGTAAGAGGCAATGACTCGGTCATCTTTACGCCACGAATATTAACAAAGAATTGAGCAAAGAAAATTTCATTTCGATTTTCGATTTTTAAAAGAATTCTTTTTTTTTAATATTTTTTTTTTAGAGGGGTACTTCCATCGACACTATTTAGATCAAGTTGAAGGCGGGCTTCCGACCCTGCCTGTCAGAGCTTTTAGTTTTAGTAAGAGTTTTACGGCACTTGCAACACAATAAGGTCATATAAGTGGCGAAGATTAGAGGTGTTACAAGAGAGTAACAAACACAAAAAAGAAGGAGGCGAGATAGAGACGATATATTTTTTTATAAGAAAGAAGGAGCAAACCACACCAGAGCACCCGTCAACCACCCACTGTCAGAGCTTTGACGTCGATACTGTTGGGTACACATTCTAAGGGGAGTGGGGGGGGGGAGAATCGTTGAAATTACCTTGTCGGACATAGTATGGTCTCACTATAATCTTAAAGATTTCAATCACATACAGAACTCAAAAACTTCAATCTCTTTCACAAGCTCTCCCCTCTTCTCCCTACTCCTCCAACCCCCTCCTCCACCATCCTTATCCCATCCTCTTACTCTTACACGTCCTCCTCTTCCCATGATTCTACTCCTACTCCTACTCCTCCTACGTCCTCTTCCTCTATCTCCTCCCCACCCCCCGCCCGTTCCCTTCCTCCTTCCTCCTCCTCCCCTTCCTCCTCTACCTCCTTCTTATCCCCTCCTCCACCTCCAACCCATCCCCCCAATCTTCATTCCCAGAACACTACCACCCACTCCCTAAAGTTCACTGAACTTTTCTTAATTCCACAGTTCTCCGCGGAAGCTTCCAGACAATTCCAGCGTGTGGTTAATTGAGGTCCCTCCGTCAATGATCGACCCCACACACACACCGCCTCAATCAAATTGTACAAGGGCATCAGGTCCGGACACACACCCACCCACCGCCCTCCACTTCACAGGCCGCGTCCGATGGGTCAGTTTGGAGTGACCATAGACTACAACTTGACTTTGACCCCATCCCTTTCGCACCGAAAAAAACCCTCTGTCCTCCCACCCCTTCTCCCCTTCCAAA